TTTAGGGTTTAGGGTTTAGATCTAAATGTAGATTTGCATGAACTTGTCTGTTTGTATGCAGCATGCAACAACGCATGTATTCTGTATTCATCATTGTGTATACATGCACATGCAGGTCTTTATGCAGGTACCTTCGCACAGATGTATGTGAGCATGTGGTATGAACGTGTGAGTTCATGTTGCGTGTAGCAGCATAAGCAAGTAGCTGGAAACCTCTTCGTAAGCACCGAAGTGTAAATGAGCAAGCTAACAGAAAGAAACGAAGACAATGAATACATGCAGGAAGAGACAATTGGATGGATCAACGACGGGACAAGCGAGCGAGCGAACGAATGGACTGCATATGAACACAAACATATTTCCTGCACATGCGGAGTCTTTTGGAGCCTCTGCAGTGTACGAAAGGGATCCCGGTCTTTAGACTATACCACCTCCTAACCCCGACACAACCGTGCAACACAAAGAAAATCGCAGCAAAACGCTAAAACACCGCCGGAAGACGGCAATCCCGCAGAAGGATGGCCGGTTCCCAACGCTTCACAGGAATGAGGCAGGGCGACGTGGTGGGTGACCTGAGGGTTTGCGGGCTTATGGGTGTTGGATTTAGTTTAGGTTCTTCAGGTGGAAGGGTGTAAGGTTTGAGGATTTCGGTCTAGCGTCAGCTCGGCAGCCCCCCCCCCCCCCAGACTGACCCGCTTAAAGCCGGTGTTCACACCCTGAACCCAGAAGGTGTCAGAATCTTCTGAGCCTGACCCGCAATTCCTCGCAGAAATCATTCGGGGACCACAGGAGAGTCTTGGAGACTTGCTGCTGGCCTTCTTCCAGCTGTGGGGCAAAGAGGAGCCTCGGAGCCCCCAAAGGGCTTTTTTTTTGGTGCTTCCGTGTCATTTCAGTTAGTCAGACCTTGTTTGAAATAGACTTGTTGAAGTCATGAAGGCCCGCGACCGTTTGACTGCAGGCTTGAGCCGCCCAAAACGTTGCAGGACCACCACCGAAACCCTTCAGAAGCCCAGCAGACCTTGGTTTCTCCAGTTCGATGCAGACAAGCCAACTGCCCCAACTCGCACACCCCAAGCTTCACGCCCCTTAAGTCGCTGAAAAGCCAGCCGACTGCGTAATGAAGCCGTGCAGCCAGAAAGTCCGCAACAAAGATTACAGGAAAGAACCAGATCTCAGAATGCGGCGCCATGTCAGCAGACCGTTTTGCGGCAGCCTGCGAGCTTGTTCCAGCAACCCGCTGGGGCTCCCACCGCAGGAGCGGAGTTTCCAGGGTTATAAGAGAAACGCTCTTGCTTTCGGATTCTTGGTGGCTACACATAGACTCCTTAGTAGTCCCTTTTTGGGATAGCCTTACAGGATTCTAAATATAAACCACAAAAAGGAACTACTTAGGAGCCTATGGGTAGGGTAAGGTCAGAGGTTGAGTTCCGAACGCCCACAGCCCAAGTACCACTCAAGTCCGATCTAGAACTGTGTCGCAAGAGTCAGAGTAGTCCGGTGATGTATCCCGACCTGCCCAGCCACTGCTAACGATTGCATCATGCACAGCTTTGCAGCCCTCCACCGTGTGAAGACTGCCCTAAACCCTAAACCCTCACCCCTAAACTCTAGACTCTAAACCCTAACCCCAAAGCCCTAAACCCTAAACCCTAGCTTCTTGATAAGTTTGGAGGAGATCCCGAGAGGCCGTCAAGAGCACCGCGGGCTTCGTGTAGGTGTAGAGCTTGTATAAAGGGCAGAGAGCACACCTCTAACAGTTCTAACAACTACCCAGTAGTTCTTTTTTGGGATTGCCTTATAGGCTTCTACATATAAACCAGAACAAGGAACTACTATGGAGCCTATGGGTAACAACTAAACCCCCAAAAGCCTGTTAGAAGGCCCGAAGGCGCATCAAAGCCCTGAAGCCAACCTCGCGCCAACAGCTTTTGCAGAAGTCCTCCAAGTCAAGCGTCACCCTGCCCACGCCCCTAAACCCGTAAAACCCGTAAACCCTAAACCCCAAAGCCCTAAACCCTCAACCCAAGCGCAGGTCTTCGAGAGCCGCTCCGAGGCCCCAAGGCCCAAGAAAGAGGGTGGCCTCTGCTTCTTTTCGAGCGACTGGGCCGACATGCAGCTGCCGGCGACACACCGCGTCTCGAGTCGTTTCAGCGGGGCCGCAGAGGGCTTTGGGGTTGCTTTGGAAGTTGCTTTAGGCCTCATTTTTTTGGCAAGGTTTGAAGATTCGGAGGATTTTTGGGCCGAGTGACGACAACATGCCAGGTTCTTTGATGAAGTGACTCTGGTCACATTTTTTAAGATGACTCCCTCATCTTGAACCCGTTCATCTCCACGTTTCATCATGATCATGAGTTCATCACCCTGTTATTCATCTAGTTGTTTTCTCGTGCATCGTTTTGATGGTCAGTTCATGATGACTTTGTCTACAGTTGTTCATTCTGCATGATGAACAAGCGGTGCGAATGACGACATCACAAACGATAAGAGCATCCCATCCTCCTAGTATTAAACGGAGGGGCCCCCCAAAAAGACATCGGAAAGTGCATTGACTATTAGGGGATACTGTTTTCTCTACTGCCACTTTTGAGGAGTCTTGCTTGCTCCTGCTCTGGCTCTTGCTCCCGCGCTGGCTTTTGCTCCTGTTGCTCCTGCTCTTGCTGTTGCTCCTGCTCTTGCTCGTGCTCCCGCTCTTGCTGCTGCTCTTGCTAATGCTCCTGCTTTCAAGCCTCCTGCGCTTGCTCTAACTCCTGCTCTTAAGCGTATTTGGAGCCTCGAAATCCTCGCCCCTAGTTCAGAACAGGTCTTAAAGGGCAGGCATGATTTGGGGAGGATTCGCCCCAATGTGTTTTCATGATTAGATTAGGGGTGTGTAATAAAAGGCGAAGGGATTAAGCTGATGAAACAATAACGAGACAGCGAAAGAGTCAAGCGCAAACTGAAGCTCCAAGCAATCAATCACAGTTCAGTAGTTGCAAGGCTTTATTTTGTCAACCCTATAAGGATTCCCGATCGACAAGTATCGCATGGCGAGGGAGGTGCTGGAGGAGGCCGGCATTCCAGTGCTCGCAGGTCCTTTGGCCACTCTTTTGAGGGATTAATTCATATCTCCTCACAGCTCCTCTCCATACAACATCCCTATACATCTTCTTTAACTAGAGACTCTCTCTCTCTCTCTCTCGCTCTCTCTAGAAAAAAGATATATATATACAGATATACATAGAGACTATAGCATACCGTACCCCAAGGTCCTTTGGCCACCTTTGAGGAGGCTTCCTTGGCCCACACGGAAGGTTACGTTCGGAGCATCTTCCGGGGCGACTGCACGGATCAGATGCGCCGACGTGTTGGCTTCAGGGAAGCCCCGATGAAGGCCTCCGAGGGTTCTATCTATCTATCTATCTATCTATCTATATATATATATATATGATTCGGTTCTTTTGGAAAAGACCCATCCGGTTCTTTCTCGACCTTTTGAGCGTTTTGTTGTTGGATAACTGGACACCTGAAGGTTTAGGATGTAGGATGTAGGTGGGGTTTGGGTTTCAGGGCTTTCGGCTGCTTTAGCGTTTGGGTTTTGTGAGGCCTATGTGCTCCGGACGTTAGCGAGCCTTGGTGCGACTGTGGCTGCTACACGCCACTGCCTCAACCATGGAGTTTGGAGTGGCGCCGTGTCTGGAGGCACGCATCATGCCTTTGCCGACTCCGGCGAGGGTTTCTGTGTATTCAACGACATTGCCGTGGCGGCCCGCCTTGCTCAACGCGAGTTTCAAGTGACTTCAGTCCTTGTCATAGACCTTGATGTGCATCAGGGTAACGGAACCGCGGGAATCTTCCAGGACGATCCTTCCGTGTACACGGTGTCTGTGCATCAGAAAAAAGGCTACCCCTTTTCGACACGCTGTGCCTCCGACATGGAGATAGACCTGCCTGACGGCTGCGACGACGAGGAGTTTCTCGAAGCTCTGATGCCAATCCGGGACCTGATCGCTCAAAAAGGAGCCCCGAGTAGAGATCCAGGGTTGCAGGTTTTAGAACTTCGGGAAGAGTCTGAATGAATTTTGTTGGCCGGTTGCTGTCCGAACCTAAGAGCTGGTATGAGTAGCGGGCGGACCAATTCTTTAAAGTCTTAGCCCGCTCCCATGGACAAGGAGTCAAGTACCGAAGATTAGGGTTGATGAGGGCTCTGTGGCCCGAAATTCTTTATGAACCAAAAAAGCATCAAGAAAACATTGATATCGGAGGAGGGAGCCGCAGCCTCCTCATCTACCAGGCCGGCGTGGACGGCCTGCAAGGGGATCGCTTCGGACGCTGGGCGCTGACGCGCCGAGGCCTCCAAAAGCGGAACGCTTTCCTCTACTCCCTGGCTTCTGAGTGCCGGATGCCCCTCCTTATCACAATGGGAGGCGGATATCACAAAGACATCCGAGAGACTGTGCGCGCCAGTGCTGACGTGTACCTCCAAGCTGCCGCCTGGGAGCAGTGCTCGGAAAAGATCGCAGCGCATCGGTGTGATGCAGAGTCAATGCAGAGTTCTCTGTGGTTCTCTCAATTTGCAAGGGGAGTTCAGTTTGGGGTTCACCTCTAGACTCTAGAACCTCACATCACCTCAGCAGCCATTTAACGCTGGGAGTCCGGAGTTAAGCCGAAGGCTCTGCGTTCTAAATGGAAACGGCTTCTCGGACCAACAATACTGGGGTACCCCACACAAGGAGCAAAAGGACTAATGACATCTAGCCTGTTTATTGTTCAGCCCTGCTGTTTTCCTGTTTAGTGATTTCAGATATAGATGCTTACGGCATAGAACATCGTATGCCTCAAAACTCAAAACCTTATGCCAACTTGTTAAGGCCCCTCTGTTAAAGCTGCGCGTGGGCAGCCCGGTGTTTTTCCCAAAGCTCGCTGAGGAGTTCCGCGGTGGCGACGATGGAAACGGGCAGACGGTGTACGTGTATGATACTTCCCAGGTAGGGCTTATAGATCGGTTCAGGGTTTGCTGGGATGTCAAATGGCAGAAGGGCCTATCTTTTTTGACCCCCCCCCCCCCAAGTTTCTTTTGGCCCCCCTCCTCTCCGGTGTCACTGCCTCCCTTCGCTGCCCTTCCCCGTCCTCTCTCTTTCTTGTTTGACCAGCCCCACTGGCCCACCTCTCCTCCGCCCCTCCAAGCGCCGGGGAAGCTCGGCAGGCCCCGAGTCTCTCTCTATAGCACTGTCCCTTACGCCTCCACAGAGGTCTGCTGGACTGGGCCCCAAGCCCTGCTAAAATGAAGCCCCCTTTCTGGTAGGACCCCATAAGAACCTGCGACACACAATAAATCATATAAATCCTGTAGCAACCCCATTCGGAACAGTGAGGCCGTAGCCTCCAAGCGCCACAACCATTAGCATAACTTATACTAATGGTAGAACCTACTATAAAGCCCTGACTGCTTCTCCAAAGCTCTCGTCCTGGCGCATGTTTGTTGCTTTTTTTTCTCTTCAGTGCTCTCGTCCATTCGGTTTGCTGCTGTTTCCTACCCTCTTGGAGCGGTCTGCCCATTGTATCTCGAACACCCCAAGCTTTTTCGCGCAGTTTGTACCTTGCTATGAAATATCTAAATCCCTTTCGAGCAGTTAGCTCTTGTCGCTTCTTTCACATGCTCTGGAGCATTTGAGAAGCAGGAGCAAGCCGCTTGTCGACTAGAACATTTTGGAAAAAGGAACAAACCGCTTGGAAAGGTTAGAGCATTTGGGAAACAGAAGCGAACCGCTGGAAAGGAACTAACTCGTTTATTTCCTCGTCCCTGAATGTCCCTGTTTGGGCTTCTTGGATTTCCTTTCGAAAAGGCTTTGGTAGCCATTTGAGCCAAGTTTGAAGCCCCGTCTCCCAGCCCGACCCAACCAAATCCAAGAAGCCCAGACAGGGACGAGGAACTAGGCGAGTCTCGTTCCGAATGGACTGAAGCAATTGAGATCTGGGAACAAACAGTTCGGAAAGATCCAGGTGCGAAGGGAAACGGGAGAGGGGGGTTTGGCCAAATGAAAGGGGACGGGGGTTCATGGTCTCGTGTTTCCTGATGAGGTAGAAGCTTCGAGGAGCAAAGTTTGGACAACAATGCTCGCCAGGAGGTGAACGACCTGGGAGTTCTGGTGATGAGGCCACCTTTGCGGGTGTGTGTGGTTTCAGGGCTGCCGGGCAGGGGTGTTTTGGCCGTCTGTTTGCTTGGCCCAGGTGTCCACTGACGGGCAAGAATGTGAATCCGTTCACGACGATGGTGCCTCACCAAGCGATATGTCGTCTCAGAGAAAACACCCTTGGTTTTGGATCTGTCGATGTTGCAACAGAGACCCTGGACAGGTTTGGCGAGCCATTCACGCGGAATTCGCACGTGCAGCAGCGCTTCTAGAACAAGGCGACACCTGTCTGCTGCGCCTGGATACATGCATTTCGGTCCACAGTCTTCAGCAATTCCAAAATTTCATTCATTTCCTTGTCGCTGCTCCCCTGAAAACCGATCTGAAACTCCAGGCTTGCAGGGAGGGCTCCACGGACTCCGTACCTCCGGGACTATTGCTGAGCTTGAAAAACCCTTAAACCGCAAGCCCTGAGCCGTCAAACCCTAAACCCTAAACTTCTAAACCCTAAACATCCCTAAACCATCATGCCCGAACCTTAAAAACCCTTCACCCGAAGAATGAAGCCCCTAAAACCGCCGGGCGACCTGAAGCCTTTATGGTAGCCTTTATGGTACCTTCTTGAAAGCAGAAACTCTGAAACTCTACCCTAAACCCTAAACCCCTACACCCTAAACCCCTAAACCCTAAACCCCTAAACCCAAAACCCCTAGACCCCAAACCCTCTAGATAAGCCCATGCAAAAAAATTCAGCAGGAGCCTCCTTAGAGGAGCTTTGCGAGCCTGCGCAGGCCCGAGCTGGCTTTCAGGAGGGGGGTTTTAGGGTTTGGGGGTTGGGGGTTAGGGGTTTAGGGGTTTAAGTTTTTAAGGGGTTTAGGGTTTTTTGGGGTTTTGGGGTGTTAGAAGTTTTGGGGTTTAGGGTTGAGGGGTGGGAAACTACTGAAACCGGAAGTTGAGTATGCAAGCTCACTAGTGGGTTCTCTAGCAGTCGGTTCTCTAGGCGTCCTCGTTCTGGTGGTCGTCCTGGTCGACGCGGTCGTGGTGGTGGTCCTGGTGCTGCTAGTGGCTAGTGGTCGAGGTCAGCGGTCGTCATGGTCGTCGTAAAGCCCTTGCGCCGTTTGGAGATCTACGCTGGCAAAATTGGGGGATCCGCAAGCTTACTGGTTAATCTCTGCTTGGCCCTGTGAAACTACGGAAAGTTTGACAAGGTTTAAACCCTAAACCCCTAAACCCCTAAACCCTAAACCTAAAGGTTCGAGCTTTCAGTTCTGGTCCGCCAGGGTCTGCCAGCCGGCTGCGGTGGGGCCTATCGAGGGGGAGGTCTGGGCCCCTCGGCGAGCAACGACGTTTACAGTGATTCGTCGACCTTGTATGGCTATTTCGATTATGGATACTCTGGATTGTTGTTTTGCTCTAAGTCTATTGAGCTTATGGATACTGTGGATTGTTGTTTTGATCTAAGTTTGATTGACTGCGACTGTTTAACTGTTTATGCTTTGGAAGAGGTCTGCTTCTTGCCTCTTACTGAGGCTACGATGATCAGCTTGTTGACCTAAACCTCAAACCCTAAACCCCAAACCTTAGACCCTAAACCCTAAGCCTCAAACCCTAAACCGTCAAGAAATAAATCAAGATAAATTGCTTGTTGCTGTTGGTCATCCGGAAGCCTGTTTTTTTCGGTCGGTGCACAACCTTTCCATTTTCTAAGAAACCAATTTCCGTTTCAGGATTAAGCAAGTCAACCCACCCACGATGGCCCAGCACGAACCGCCCAGTCAGCCACCAGCTCAGCCGTCCCAGCCCAGCCCAGCCCAGCCCCCAGCCCCAGCAGCCAGCCCCAGCCGCCAGCCAAACCCCCTTTCCCTCCCCTCCCTCTCAACCCAAATCAGGTTTCAGCCATCCCAGCCCGGCCCAGCTTATTGTCACTTATTGGCACCCAAGCCCTGAACAAGTTCTATGAACCTTAAACCCTAAACACCTAAACCCCTGAACCCCTACACCCCTACACCCCTAAACCCCGAAACCCCTAACCCTCAACCCCCAACCCCAAAATCCCAAAAACCTAAAACACTAAAACCCGAAACCCATAAACCCCTAAACCCCTAAATCCCTAAACCCCGGATTAAACTCTAAACCCCTAAAACCCTCAACCCCTAAACCCCCAAACCCCTAAACCCCAAAACCCCAAAACCCTAAACCTTCAAACCCCTAAAGCCCTAAAACCCTAAACCGCCTAAACCCCTAAACCCTAAAACCCTTAAAACCCTAAAACCCGAAAGTGTGTCAGAGCTCCGCCGCACGGAGCCGAGGCGCGGAAATCGCGGCCCGACTTCTGGGCCCCATGGAGAGCGGATGGGATTGGCCAGTCGAAAATAGAGTTTGTTTTTTTGAGTTGAGGGTTTAGGGTTCAGGGATTTATGGTGTTTTTTGAGTTTGGAGTTCAGGGATTTAGGTTTTTTTTGATAGGGTTGGGGGGGTTAGGGCGTCCGGTTTCGGGTTCAGGGCGTGCGGCCGCGTAGGGCTGGGAAGCCGTGCGAGTCTGCTAAGCGGAATTTAAAGCTTTAATGGATAGATGTCTCCGAACTACTTGTTAAAAAGTCCTGCAAAACAGTGATCTAAAGTATTCAGGCCCCTTTTGGTACAAAATTCTCAGCAAAAGGCATCGTTCCAGGAGGATGCCTTAGTCCCTTGAGAGCACTGTCATGTGGAACTCCGCCGTGCCGGCCGCTCTTGGAGTACTATGCTTCAGCGGTATTCAGCGTTTTGGGCGTACTGAGGTTACTGGCCTGGGTTTAGAGTTTCAGTTTAGGGTTTACGGGGTTCAGCTTTCTTTGGTTCTTCCCATCTGTTGATGCTACATAGGCACCGGATCAAGATCGGAACCTCGCGGGGACCGACAGGAGCGGCTATGACCCGCACAGGCCAAGTGAGCTCGACTGCATCAGCGATCAGAAGGAGAACACTACCCCAAAAGGGACTGGAAGGCAGGACGCCCTCTTGTGATAACGCAACATATCGGCTCAGAGATCTGTAAAAGAAAGAGCGCTGACCACCGGCAGTAAGAGCTTAGAGAGTACTTTGCTGCTCGCGCAGCCCCTAACCCCCCTAAGCACAGTCCATGCGCAAGCCATTCAGCCCTGAACCCAAGCCGACCCAGCAGTCCTTACCCCACGCCAATCCTAAGCACTTGAAGAAGCACTGGGAAGATGAGCGCTTCGTCTGCAGATACAGGCGTCCTTGCCTTGGAACTCGCATGTGGCTGCAACTCCCACAAGCATGAGAATCATGTATGCCATCATCACGCCACATAAGTCTGTAAAATGTAAATCTGTAGCATAATTTAGTTAAGTATATGAGGCACGATGAAGTGTTCAACCTTGTGTTTATGAATGCTTACACAAAAGCTTGGTTAAAAGAGACCTAAAAAGATCAGCCACATATATATATAATATAAACATATATGGGGTGTATATATATAAGCATATAGGAAGATCTGCATCTACATGTCCAGATGCGACCGTTCCAGAAAATGAGGTTTGAGTCGGCCGTAAAAACGGCCACGCCGCGCCGTCGCGCGGAAAGAGTTCACGGCCGAGTTGTTTGCTTCGGATGCGAGTAGGAGATAGTAGGAGTATAGGCTTGTCGGGAGCTCTATGGTCCGAAGGTTTCCGGACGTTCGGTCTGGGGTTTAGGGTTTAGGTTCTTGAGGTTTTGATCTCGCAGAGTAGGGATGTGAGTAGCCTCAGATGTTGACGACATCATCCCAGGATGATTGGGCTCGCGTGTGGTGGCGATGATGCTTTGCTGAAGGCGGACCGTGTTTGTGGACATCGGCCCTGTGGTATGTTTCAACTTAAGCATGGTCGACATGCCGAAACACGGTTTGCACAGACGTGCAGGCAAAGCGAGCCAAGAAAGAGGCAAGGTTGCAGTACCATGGCATGTGTTTCTTCATGTTGGTGGAAAGCGGAGGCCGACCAGGCCGATGAAAAGAAGGACCCAACTGAAGCTGTGGGGGATTGTAGCTTCGTGATGCTCGAGTTGTGTATCGCATGCCGGCTTATAAAATCGTGTTTGGCGTGCGTGGGCTTTGTTCAGGTGGCTTTGCGGAATGCAAAGATGAGTAGGGCACAGTTATGTCAATGAGACGAAGGACTCACCTGGCGCATCAGCTGAGACTGCCGTCGATGGCGTCAAGAAGGAGGAAGTCAAGAAGGAGGAGGATCTCAAGGATGAGTTGAAGGACGAATTGCTGGAAGTCAAGACCGAGGTGAAGGAGGAACTCGACGACTCCGAGGACGCGCTCAATGACATTATGGAGGCCAATCCGAGCATGAGTGGCAGTATGATTAGGAAGGAAAGGTGGGTTGTGTTGGTTGTTCGTATTGTTGTTGTGTCTTCAGTGCCCATGGCAAACGAACTGCTGGAAGGCGGAGACCACTGCCGTTGGGAAAGGTGCTCTTCTGAGAGTGTCGTGTGAGGTTGACAGAAAATTATTAGCAGTCGCAGGGTGTGCACTCTCTTGCGCCACCTCAAGGCAAGAAGCGAAAGCGGTTTGACTACGAGGCAGCGGTTCTGGCCATCACACTTGCCACAGGGGTCTTGCAAGTTCCGTCAACGGCCACCACCAACTTCAGTAGGTACTTGCTGTTGTGCATTCGAAGAGGCAGCCTGTCAGGCAAGGTGTCGGAGTTTGAGGTGGATCTATGCTCCCGTGGCATAAAGGCCAAGCGCGAAACGTCAGAAGTCCTTGGCCAAGCCTGGTCTGTTATTCCTTCAACTTGCTGATAGCCACGCACCGTTGTTACCAAGATGTGACGAAACCCTCTCCCTTAACAGCATGGTCGCTGCTATGAGCAAGCTCAGCATAAGTCTGTGCACAGGGCCCCGTGCCGCCCATGCCAGCGGTGGACTCTGATACCGAGTACGAGAAGGCCAGCAGCATCTAGGAAAGAGTCAGTGTCGGGCCTGAGGATCCAGGATTTGCTGCACCTCTGACTTCATGACAGGTTAGCATCAAGGACTTCCCAGGCAGCCTGCGAGTGGAGGTGTGGGAGCAACCCAACAGCCCAAGCTCACGGCATCGAGACTACGACTAAGGCCGCGTCCATGGACAGGATCAATGGCCTCTACAAGTCATCCACTTATGGGTCTTATGCGGGCAGCGCTTTGCTGAGGGACCGCTGACAGGGACCCCACAGCCCATGCCTTGCACGAAGGAAGTTTCCCAAGCCCAGCCGGGGGAGGCCGGAGATGGCCAGAGAGGGGTTTGTATCGCCCAGTGCAGACCAGATAATATAGGGGCCGAAATAATTACCAATACTATTTTGGAGGTTCCTTATTATAAGTATAGTATAATGGGCCCCAAAACTTTATTCCAATTTTTCAGGCCCCTATATTAAGTGTATGCTTTTCTTTCGTTGTTTTTTGCATAGACTGCTGTTAAGACGAGAATCTGCAGGCCAGCCTACGTCAAGGTCAGCAGATTGGATGCCGCTAAGAACATGCGCGGTTCTGAGACAAGCGACCTGCCTACCTGTGGTGAGTAGTAGCCGACACGTCACCAAGGTATCTTTTCTGGCATGATGGCAAATGGCATATTGCCCCCGAGTTTGGCGAAGGACAGAAGTCCTTTGCGCGCGGAGCTTGGCGTCCGAGCTATTAAGCCATACTTTTCCATGTGTGACGCCATTTCATTGTGAAGTTTTATCTTAGGTCCATCATTGCCGCTGCGGGTATCCAGCCGCCCTTCGAGCCATTTCCGGGCATCTGGAAGGAAACGTCGTTGTCAAACACTCGGGTCTAGTCACTAGGGTTTGATATAGGGGCCTGAACAGTCCGTAATTAAGAATATACCCTTGCAGCCCCTGACTACAGCTTACACTATAATTCAGGACTCCTTGCAGTGTAGGGTTTTGCCGCGCAGGTCCTAGAGAAGCACAAGGAGAAAGACGATGGGAAGAAGTCGGCTGGGAGCTGAGACGCAGCACGGTTGCGCAGGGTGGACGGTGTCAGAAGACGGCTGAGCCAAGAATTTGAAGACCCAAGTCATCAAACTTTCGAAATAGAAGCCCCCCCCAATGCCACCCCAACCCTGAAGCCGACAGGGCCCCCAAATAGGCCCAAAGCCGCACTCTTATGTGGCCCTGTTGGTCCCGATTTTCTCGTAGGCCAGAGAAGTAATGATCTCCCTAAAGCCTAAGCAGTGGAGAGACCACAGGATACCGACAAGGACAAGGTGGAATGTCTTCTTATGAGAGACCGGCCCTCGGCTCCTGCGAGGTTTTGAGGTTTTGGAGTCTAGTCTCTGGGTTTTTCGGGGGTCGGGCGGGTGCTTCAGGGTGGGGTGAAGAGCTTAGGGTTTAGGGTTTAAGGTAAAGCCTGAGCCTTCAATTTGTCCTAACTTGCCGCTTCAGGGGACTCGACGAGAAATTTCTGCTAGTGTTTTGTACTCCATCACGAAGGGTCCTACGTACCTGTAGGTGTACTTGCCTTCTGAGCAATCCTAGTCCTTGTTACTTCGGCCCAGTAAGCTCCCTGCACGTACTCAGCATGAAGCCTAAAGAAGTCTCTTCTCGAAGTCAAGTGCACCTCAAGAAAGCATAGAAAGCCGAAGCCTTCATTCCTAAAAGCCTCTTCTGTTGTAGCATGATGATAGCGATGACAATGCGGATGGTGATGATGATGATGATGATGGTGATGATGATGATGATGGTCGTGGTCATGCTGACCTGTGCTGCGTTGTCGGAAGTGCCGTTTGTCCCGCGCAGGCCAAACGAAACAACACCACGCTAAGCATAAAGTTTCTAAAATGTGCGTCCAGCGTTTTCCCACACAAAAGCGCAAATTTTGTCTTGCGGCAAGGGTTCCCGCGGAAAACCGAAGGAATCGCTACGCAAGGCAAATTCGCCAACTCTGCGTACACAAAGTGGGTTTTGTCCCACACAGGTCACTTAAAACGCATAGTATGGGAATTTCCCTCGTCTAAACGAAAATCACCACGCCAAAAACCTCGGTAAAACCACGCCAGAACGCATGTTGTCGGAAACTGACATGTCGTTCGTCCCACGCAGGCCACGTGAAACGTACGTTGCTGTCACTCCTCCCTGGGCGTGTTTACAGGGTGATGGAGCGTTGCTGCTGTTGTTGTTGTTGTTGTTGCTGCTACTGCTGCTGGCAGCAGTTGTGGTCAGTGCAGTTATATGGTGGCGTTCGTCCCAGGTCGTCGATGACACCTTCTGGGACCAGTCCCACGACTTTCAGGCTTGCTATAGTTTTCAGTGTTTGGGCGGTGCTATGCGTGGCTGCGGAGGACATGGACCAACCCTATGAAGCCCATGCCAGAGGGCAGCTGGAAGCGCATATAGCGAAGACTGAAAAGTCCGAGAAGAGAAAGGAGGAGACTTTGTGTTGTTCTTGAATTTGCGCTTGTTTTGGGCGATTTGGGTTTCGTGTGCTCATGATCTTGAACGGGCTCCCAAGCCCAGGAGAGAGAAGAAGCGAAAGCAGAGGTCAAGGACAAGGCAAGTGCGGCCAGGACATCGCCGGGTTAAAGCTGTTGGGATCGTCCGCCCAGCACAAGCCCGCAGAGGAGTCAGCAGACTCCTCCGCAAGCGCGGAAGCAGCCAGCACCGCCTGGATCCAAGATCGGTCTGAGATGTTGCGGCAGAAATGAATTCAGATAGTTCTTGATCATGTGCTGAACCTGAGAATCGCCCTAAATGTACTAGGCCGGAGAAGTCGTCTTCCTCGACGAAGGGCCAGAAGAATCAGAAGAAGAGTCCCAAGCACCTCGGATGGCCTTGAGAATAAAGGCGTGGCTTTTGTGGGCTTCTTGTCTCACTCCCTCAGGGCCAAAGCCCTTCCAGTTGTGAAGACCGGCGCTCCAGCCTCAGCTTAGGGGGGCGACGCTGGAAGAAGAATTTCGAGGGGTTTTCAGCGAGTCTGGAGCTGCTAAGGATGACGAAGCGGACATGGCCAAGCCGGCACATTTCTCCTTGAGCGCATGAGACCGCGGACTTCGATTTTCCGGGACTTCGGATGTACTTGAGAGGGATGTCTTTCCAGGTGGCAGCTGCGGCAGCTGCCGCCGGCGACGAGGACCTGGGCCACCGGGAAGTATCCGGGCACCTAACTGACCTAACTTCTCTGGAAATCCGCTAGTTGGGGCTGCAGGACAGCGATGACGATCCGAAGGCACCATCCGCGCCATACCGGAGTCGAAGACCTCGGAGCAGTGGAAGTCAAGTTTAGATACATCGCTTTAATGCGGAAAATGAAAAATGTTGAAGCTGTTGAAAGAAGCTCTTCCTTAGAGGCAAAACCTCAGTCTGCCGCGGCGTCAGCGTGCCGCACTGAGCCCATGCGTTCCTTGGGCAGAGCTTTTTTAGCATCCTTCGCAGCAGGAGGGTTTCAGGGTGTCGACACTTGGGTCTGAAATTAACAGCCTGCGGTTCGAGTTCAGCTGTCGGCTTTCCAGAGTTCCACAGCAGGCCATCAGACAGCGAATCGGCATCTGAAAGCGACAGCGAAGAGTCTGGCACTCATCCGCCGTGTAGCCCCCAAGCATCGAGGCTAGACTACGCTGAAGTCATCCCGTGCGGATTTCAACGAACTATGAGTTTGTAAGGCTGCCCATAGGTCCTATCATGTAGACACTCCATCATAGTAAAATCTGGCAATCCCCAAAATCACAAGTACCCCTTTGTTTCCGAAGCTCCCATACAACATCAGCGAAGGACGAAGAACAGGCAAATACCAGGCGACGTAAGCAATTCCCTATACTTCGGAACACAATGACTGAGAATCCGGGAGTATGAAGATGCATCCGTTCATGTGCAAGAAGCCAAAAAGAGCCCTTGCAAACCGCTGATGACCGACCTTAAACATTAGGATTCCCCAAATATTAAGCCATATTAACTATTAGGGAGAGGCATTATTGAATCGGGGGTTCTACAGTAACGTTGAGGTCCTCATCCTCCGGCTCCTCAGAAGCCTCTGAGCAAGAGAAGGATGAGGATGATCTGAAGGCTGGGCTTAGGGTTTCGGTCGTCGAAGTCTTCAGGGGTTGAGGGTTTGGGGCTTATAGGGCTTAGAAGGTTTATAGGGTTTAGGGTTTATGGAGGGGCCCGGCCCACCAGGTCTAGAGTTTAGGGGTCTGCGGTGTGTGTGAACTTCGAGTGACAGAGATGCTCATGGCTGGCTGTCTGTCTGTAACGATTTGTCCAGCTAACAGGCGATATTCGCGACTGGCGCCTTGCTTTGGATACTACTCCGGCAATCTTGGTCCTTGTTCCCTTGTGTTCTTGATTTCCCAGCAAAGTCCCTGCATTCCAACTTAATCAGCAACACCCTCACACAGCCTAACCCTCATACTTACACCCCTTAGAAGCCCCAACGCCGACTCCCAAGTCCCTCACGGGTTTAGGGTTTAGGGGTTTAGGGTTTAGGACCTGCAGGACATGAATGACACCGCCAAAACCCTCGTGGGTAAGCTCAAGGCGATGAATAAGGCCGAGGCCTGGGCCTTGGAGTCCTTTCGAGTTTGGCTTTTAGAAAGCTCTTGA